CAGCCAATCAATTATTCTCTTTCATCATTGATGTTTCTATCTCTCTCTCCCTCTCCCTTCCTCTCTAAAAATCAATAAAATATATTTTTAAAAAATAAATAAATAAATAAAATGTACATGGTGGTTTATAGCACCATTTTTCATAATCACCAAAGACTGGATAAGCAAACGTGATGCAGCCATACAATGGAACACTATTCAGTAATAGAGAGGAATAGACTCATACACACAGCCGTGCGGATGAATCTCAGGTGCATTATGCTAAGTGGAAGTTAGACTTTAAAGTCTACATACACTGTGATGTTATTTCTATGACATGGGGATGGAAAACACATCAGTGGTTAACTGATAGCTGGGATGTGGGGAGACTGGGCTACAAAGGCATGGGGGCATTTTTGGTTGTGATGAACTGTTCTATATCTTGAGTGTGGTCATAGTTATATTTGTCAGAACTCACAGAATTTTATACTGGAAAGGGTAGATTTTACTATATGTACATTATAGCTGAATTTGTTTTAAGAGTCAGGAACAACTTCCCAGGGAATGTCAGCTTCAGCTGCACTGTGCAAGGTGAGCAGGGCATGAAGGAGGTAAAGAGGATAGGACAGAGCATGTCGAGCACCGGGCACAGAGGCAGCTGGGTGAGCCAGGCCGATGAGGCAGGAGGTGCAGGAAGAGCATGCAGGCCTGGTGACGTGGGTGCTGTCAGCATCCCGAGAGCAGTAGGAGTGTTGCAGACTTGGTGTTGGCAAGGTGATGGCTTTGGTGTGGAGAATGGCTAGGAGGGGTGTGTAAGGAAGCCACTAGGGACTAGTGAAGATGTCAAGGAAGAGATGACAGGTCGGCCTAGGGAGGTGGCTTCAGACAGAAATGGAGAGATTAGAATCATGGACATGAAGTAACAGCATTTGATCATTGACCGGATATGTGGGTTAGGAAGAGAGATGTCAAGAATGATTTCTTGGTTTCTGGCCTGCATAACTGGATGGCACTGGAGCCACCACTTAGATAGGAATTCGCAAAGGACAGAGTCACAGAGGCGGGGATTAATCCATTGAATGACTTCATTCAGTTCATACAGTGTGTCTTGCTAATATAGTCATGGGAATATAACCTAAATGCAAGTTATAGACAATTTCCCCAAACTTGGAATATGTAAATTACATTATCTTCTTCCCCATCCCAGCCAGGTCTCTTTCTCTTCTCTTTCTGGCAACAGCACCTCTATTCTTCCTGCTCCGGGGCAGTGATCTCAGAATCCTTGTTGACTTCCCCATCTCTGTTGTCCTTCAGGAAACACCAGAGTCAAACACCAGATCCTGGAGCTTCTCCTGCCCCACCCAGTCCTGTCTCAGGTTCCTGCAGCTGGATGTGTGCTCCACCATCAGATTAGGTTGTCTGCACCACCTCTTTCATCGTGTTGCTCTCTCCTTCCAGAACTTTCAGTGATTTCTCTGGGATTTCTGCCTGCCTCTCACGCCTTTCATGCTCTGGTTCTCCAAGCGCTTTCTTCTACCCGAACTCCACTTCCTGTCCTTGGACCTTATCCCTCCTGTCACTGACCATGCCTGGGTGTCCTCTCCCCTATGTCTCCTCCCCTCACCCTATCTTCCCATCTAGGCCCAAACAAGTCCCTTATCTTCCTTGAAGCTCTGTCTCACATTGAGCTAGTTTGTGCTGACCTTTTGCTTGTCTATTCCTTTCACAACCATTGTCCACTTCATGCAATTAGTGTTTTATTATATTCTGACTAGAGGCCCGGTGCACGAAATTCATGCTTGGGTAGGGTCCCTAGGCCTGGCCGGCAATCAGGGCCGATCAGGGCCTTCTGGCTGCTGGCCGGGGCCTTCCTTCGTTCTGCGCCACCCCCTGGTGATCAGCACACATCATAGTGAGCGATAGAACTCCCAGTTGAACTCCCACGGGGACACTTTGCATATTAGCCTTTTATATATATACTAGGGGCCCGGTGCACAAAAATTTGTGCACTGGGGAGGGTGTTCCCTCAGCCCAGCTTGCCCCCTATCACATACTGGGAGCCCTAGGGGATGTCCTACTACCTGCTCCCTGCTCCCTTGGGGAGTGGGCCTAAGCCACAGTCTGGCCACCCTTTGTGGGAGTCGAACAGGCTGATCAGGGGAAGGCACCAGCCCCATCACCACACTGTTGCAGCCACTGCAAGTCAACAATTGCTGGCTGGCTCCCCCCTGGTTCCCCGCCTCTGCCGCCATCAACAATCCTTGGCTGGCTCCTCCCTGGCCCA